GGATGCAGATTCAACTGCCGAGACGCACGCTAGTGTTGCCTGCCGGTTCAATGTTCATTGTTCAGTGACCCAACAAGGTCACCGTTTCTCGCCGGTATACCACTTGGACTGTGTTGTGTTGTTCTTCCGACTGTTCTGTTGAGTGACCCGCTTGCCACTGAGTTAGTGTCGAACGTATAGCCTGAACTCAACAGCGTGTTAAATGATGCAATGAATTAGATAGCGACTCTTTCAGAAAGACACTGTCCTGTCCTGTGCTGAGCAATGCACCAGGATCACCGGCCGCAGAGTGCCAGACCGCACCAGTCCCCCTGGGCTAGCCAGAAGTGACACCGACCCTGCGCTCTCCTTTCCTTCCGACCGGCGCGGCGCCGGCTGGCGGCCGGGGCGATGACATGGGGTGAGGGGAGCATTCAGAGCCTCACCCCGGGCCACTAACCGTAACAACGCACCGGGCCGACCGCCGGAAGGACGGTGATGGACAGTCTGTCTTAAAAGTACCGCGCAAAGTGACGGTGGATCCATCAAGCCTGACCGAGGAAGGGCCTGCTGAATTTGAAAGTCACCGAAACAATTGACCTGGGGAATGGACGAGGATGTCAATTGCTTCGGTGACTTTCAAATTCAGCAGGCCCTTCCTCGGTCAGGCTTGATGGATCCACCGTCACTTTGCGCGGTACTTTTAAGACAGACTGGACACCCGAGAGAGGCCGGAAGGGGGAGAGACGGTGGCCGCAGGACATTGGCCCCGTCAGACTGGGCTGTATGGGAGCACGGTGCTGAGGACGGCTGAACGGCTGACCAACGCACCGGTCACTGACCAGTGCGTGCTATGCGAGAGAGAGAGAAAGAAAGAGAGAGAGAGAGAGAGAGAGAGAGAGAGAGAGAGAGAGAGAGAGAGAGAGAGAGAGAGAGAGAGAGAGAGAGAGAGAGAGAGAGACAGAGAGAGAGAGAGAGAGAGAGAGAGAGAGAGAGAGAGAGAGAGAGAGAGAGAGAGAGAGAGAGAGAGAGAGAGAGAGAGAGAGAGAGAGAGAGGGAGAGAGAAAAATTGATGAGAAGGTATTCACTAATCTGGTTGCCATTAAGCCCCTTAGTGGCAGCCTGTTCAAAATGCTGTTCTTGTCGCCGGTGTATAAAAAAAACAAGTATCTAACAAGAACTAACTACGCACCAGTTCCTGACCTACCTCACAATGCTTCAGAACCGAGCCAATCTCGCCCTTTCCTGACCTGTCCTCACAAATATGGCCCCATGCCACGGCACACCTCTTCTCTTCGTATCTCCGCGTTGTCCGTTCTCTTTTCCTCTCTCTCTCTCTCTCTCTCTCTCTCTCTCTCTCTCTCTCTCTCTCTCTCTCTCTCTCTCTCTCTCTCTCTCTCTCTCTCTCTCTCTCTCTCTCTCTCTCTCTCTCTCTCTCTCCACCCTCACCCAGTCTCGGCCGGCAGCTGGGCGTCGCTCGGATTTCCGCGGCCTCATCTCTAATTGGCCGGGTCGTTACTGAAGCCGACGCCAGTAATCGGAGGCCGTCACAAGTTGGCAGCTCGGCAAGTTTGCCGCGGCCGGGAGGCGTTAATCGTGCCATCCGCCGCGCCGGCCCGGGCCGCGGCTCTGCACTGTGGGCCGACACAGCTGTGGGAACTGGCGTGACGTGGGTTGGTTCAGCTGTTGGACTGACGTGACGTCACGACGTGGCGTTGTAGTTAGTATGTCTAACTGTTTGATATTTTGCTCCCCAAAAAGTGCACATCATATTTTAGATTCAGAGAAGAAGCTATGCAATGTTCGTAATACCTATGTAAGAAAAACACATTTAATTTATGAAATCACAAGCCTCTACGGTCTAAGAAGATGTTTGGACAAAATGTAGATAAACTGAAATCAACCATGGCTAATAAGTGACCTAGCGGAATTGGATGCATAGCGCATCAATGTTGAATCCCACATCCATAGCCGGATCCGGAAAGGTGGTCTCGGACGCTACGGGGGAGGGGTGCTACCCCAATTTTTTTTCCAAAATCAAGAAACATCCTCGGTTTCAATTTCTTTCGAACTGCTGTGCTATTCAGCTTTTCCAACAAGTGCATGCAAGCAGGCAATAAGCAGACTTTTCCAAATAAAAATTGCTTAGTTTTCCTACTGTTCTACAAAAACGATATATTTTCATCGTTTTCAGGCGCTGGGAGGGTGCATTTGGCCCAAATGCACGTAATGCACGTATTCCATTTACCCACAGGCATTTGCCCACAAATGCCTTGAATCCGGCAGTGTGCATACCAAGGATATGTTATTGGATGTGCCATAATAGCCCATATAGGTACACGAAAATGAACATCTTCGCAAAAGAAACGGATTGACGAATGACGATGGTTTTCTGACCAGGATAGGTGGGTCAACCCGGGCATCTCTACCCCGTCTACTACACCTTTTTGCATTTGAATTCAACCATTCGCCATAACTGTTTGGGGAGCCATTTCGACAATCGACATTGAGCACAACTATTCCGGCGTTGTGTGTCTCATTTTAGCTATTCAGCAAAACAGATTGAACACTGAAATGAGCGATGTGCAAAACGGTTTGACACTTCGCCAGACTTCGGCATTTAGTGGGCTAGCTTGGCATATGGCGAATATTTTCGACCATTGACGATTTGTTTTTCACAATGTTGAAGTTTGAACCATTCGCTCAACGCCGAGTTGTAGAGGAGGACCGCCGAATAGTTTTGCTCAATGGTGATTCTTTGTGACCAACCGCCCATTTGTAGCGCCACCTACATGGCGAATGTGTACAAATGTTTTGTCCAATGGTTTAAAGCTAACGCAAAACGGTGTAGTATAACCGTGTGTTCCGCGTGAAATGTCTCTCCAGTTCAGAAAAGACTCGTAAGTCGTAGCTACCCGCCGCCAGTCGCCGCCCTGTGGCTGCAGTTAGCGGAAATATGATTTTCCGCCGGATACACACACCACAAGGCCAGAGCTGAGGTAAATATGCTGCGTCGGGCTGCGGCATCAGCCGTGGGACGCCAGAGCTCAACTTGATATGCGCCGCCTACCGCCCCACCGTTCTGACACAGTCGTGACGGGCTAGCCCGGTTCGGAACACACAGCTCTAAAATATCGCGTAGTGGCTGAGAGCTACGTAGCGTAACTTCTCTGTGAAAGCCAGTGCTTGGAGTTCAGAGTTTTGCGCAATAGATAACTTACCTACTTGTACTTTACTTGTATTAACATAACGTTATATGCCTTTGGATATTTCCTTAAATGGTGTGACCTCACGGATGCTATAGTTGTTTTGACTTTTATCCTTGGCTTGATTTGAGATGTCTGCTAGAAAAACGTTTCGGCCGGTTGAGCTTTTTCGGAAGTCGTCAGGTGTCTCCTAGCGACTGCCATCTCCGCTCCAAGTGAGTACCTATCTGCCGGTCCCACCTTCGCAATTCAATCAATAGTCGCATAGTACACCATTGATTTGAATTCAACGATTGGCTTTTATAGTCTAAGCATAGATCTTAGTTGATCTCGTTGGAGCATGATCATCTGAAAAAGGGTGCGAAAAACAGCGTTAATGTGCCAAGTATGCAATGCAACTCTCGGGCATGCTGCCCAGCCCTGATGGAAGATGGCAGATTAACGAGCTAAGTCTCTAATAAAGGCTACGCTTCAGTTCCTTTGTGTATTTCATTGGTTCCTAAAAGCGTCCACATGCCGAGCCCTGCCTGACTCGGCGACTGCTGCTGTGAAGGATACTCCGGTCTATGTAAGTCGGAGACTACCGTGTGCCCAATTCGAGCCTGTTTGAGCCGGCGACTAGTGTGCAGAATCCGTGTCGTTCCATTACGCCCACCGAATAACTCACAGTCCGAGTGTCGCTCGCAGCCCAGGCGTCGCTGATTTAGCCTCTCCGGAAACCGACGCCATAATTCAGTACCTACATACTGCCGGGGACGCTTTTAGACGCCGCTCCTCCGACGATCAAAGTGCTCCGGCCTGCTTCGACAAATGCCACTAATTGAGTTCGCGCCCAGGAAAGTCTTTCAACTACATACGAACGGTGTTGCACCGGTGAAAAATAATCTTGACGTTCATACAAGACTGTACAACGAAATTACGGCACCTGAATATGGTACTGAGAAACCCAAATTACGAAGTATTATTCTGCGGAAACCCCTTGATTTGATCCGGAAATTACCTCGTCAAGTATTAATTTATGTGTTTCATTCAGTAACAAATGAAAAGCAGACTGCGTAGCGGCTAGCACCATGACGCAGTTATTGCTCCAGACTCAAGAGACTTGTCGAGCAGCTCCGTCAATTCGACCAGCTACACCACCGGTCACTCTGTGTGCTGGCTGGTCACATCGCATATCGGCGTCCTGTGCCCCCCCCCCCCTGAGGGATGGTCTCTGCGGCTCCCGGCAGCACCATCCACTGACCGCCCCCTCGCGTCCGCCCGTCCATCCGCCCTGCTGATATATAGCGGCCAAAGTCCCCCGCGACGCATTTAAGTGCCGCCGCCAGTATAATACACCGATAACTGCGCTAATGGTCAGTGGCCCAGGCAATAGCAGACCCGAGACCAAACAGGGTGACGGCTCCGCCGCGGGGAAGACCGGGTGGACGGTACTCCCGGGACGGAGCTGTTGCGGGTAGTCGGAGGGCGTCCGTACCTCCCGGTTTCTACACCTGGGATCGTATGGATCGTATGGCGACGCCGGCAGGGGAAGTCAGAGGGCACCGGCCTCACTTCTCCGTTCATTTCTTAGAGACAGCTTGGTGCACTAACTAAGGAGGCATATCTTCCAGGCTCCTGATCCCCTAGACTCGGTAGATGGTTACCCAGGGCCCTCCTTAAATTAAATTCCGAAGACCTGGCGAAACACAGCCCGCAGGCGCTGTATACCGCGGCCACGTTACTTTGGGCTAACAATGTTGGGTTGGCATACTTGCCACCGGTGCCACTGCCAACCACTCTATTCTCATTAAAACCATAGCAAGTCAAAGTCGATTTACTCCGCTTTGAGATATATTCAAAACGTCTTTGTATGCATGAGTAAGTATGGTTAACAATGAGGATATCTTAACAATGGCACAAGACAGCGGTATAGTAACCGGAAATCACTGATAAGAAAACACGTGTAAAACGATCGTTAGGCTTGGACGAATGATCCAGCCATCTTGGTTTACCGATATAAGCAAGAGCACAGCAAAGTTATTTAAAAAAGACCAGACACAGAAAAACAAAGGCGACTCCAGAAAACTAGATAAACTTGGTGATGATATCAGTGCCACTGAACGTCGATACTGGTAAATAAATGACTGCTGAAAGAAAAACAACACCGCAGATAACACTTCTGCGGCGCTACAGCCCGCGCCACACTGCCATTCTAACTCGGCCGGAGTCGCAGCCGCCGCAGCTGTCCACGGGAGCTGGTCCGCGCAGCCGCCGGGCCGCTGAATCCTGAGCAGAGCGGCGGGGGCAGCTGCCCGGAGAGAGAGCAGCGGGGGCCGTGTGCCGGCGCGCGGGCCTCTTTGTACCGGCACGAGCCGCGCGGCAGACCGGCACACCGGCCGAGCAGCCCACGGCGCCGTGAGATCCCAGACTGCAGTCTAGTGACGAGCGCACACACAAACACATACACACACAGTCGCTTATAGCAGGCAACACTCGACACAAGCGAACACCAACCGATTCTGACCCGGCCAGCACACGTTATCCTCGCAGTCACGGCGGTGACAGTTGTCTCAGTAACTCAGAACTCCTCAGTACCCCCAGTTGCCTCAGTGATGCATCCGCAAATCCCACGTCTCAAGAAATCAGCCACAGTCGCGACGCCTACCTTCCGGGAGCTTCAGAAACGTACCAATTCGACACCTTTTTTTAAACCCCACTTCTGTTCTCCGGTGAATTTCCGGGAAGCACGAAAGATCTCTTTTTAGAAGTGTCCAATCGTCCGATCCTGATCAAATTTGTGTGTTCGTAAGCTTGCTCTGGCATTGCTTGATCTGCCAAGACAGACAAACTTGAGAAAAATCGAGTGACTGTACCTTTTTTGAAGGTTTCTAAACAACTTGTCTGAACTTCACGGGAGAACAAATGTGGGATCATTTAGAAAACAAATCACAAAGCAATAATCTCCGCTTACCACCAATTTATCCAGTGACGTGGGCAGATCAGATGACTATCCAAGCTCCATCTCATTATAGTGTCGTATGACTAACCACTGCATCCGGCCTATGTACCGTGTAGTACGTGCTCACACAAATCACTCGTTCATCCACATACTGGCTACGGGAGCGGCACTAGCTCGCTCCGTCCGATCACAGAGAGCACCTGCTCCATCGCATCACACGGCCGCGCCGGCGGTCTCACGCATATATAGAAAAATACCTGCCCCTGTCCGCTACCGCTGCGGGACCAGCACGATGGGTGTGGTACACGGCGCACCACGACACCACGCAGCAGGATGTCTGGGGCCTGAGGGGCTCCTGGTGTTAGGGAGTCCGTTTTGCTGTCTGTTAGCAGCCCACAGCATCAGGGAGTGGCCAGCCAACTGTCCCGCCATTACCCATCTGTTCTGGAACCGTGGAGCGGCGGTCAGCAGTTCTGTTGTCAGGGCGCGGCGATATCCGTGATAACCCGGTGCCTTCGTCCAGCTCGCTCTGACACCATACGAGCCAGGTGGTCGATCCAAACCAGCGTCAGGAGTTCGTCCTCCCTACAGAGTCTATCACTGGCACGGGAGCGCTGTCTATGTAGCTCCCCTGGCCAACATTGGGGCTGGAGGGCCGTCCAGCTCACCAGGCCAAACACTGACGCTGGAGCGGTGCTTTATCCCGGCGCCGGGCGGTACACTGTCCTGTCGCCGGGAGGCACACTGTCCTGGTGCCGGGCGGTATCCCTGACCCTCACTGGCGGTGTCCGTCTCCCTCTGACCTATCACCGTGCTGAGAAGAGGGGTAGCAGCGCCAGGAGCAGTAGCCAGCTGACGGCGGTCACCGCAGCCGCCGACCGCGAGCCGCTGGTGGATGCCTCCGCTCGACAGTCGCCTGAGGGGGACAGGGGCAGGGGTTACAGGTCAGAGGTTACAGGTCAGAGGTCAAAGTGAACGGTCAGCGGCTTCCGCTCGACAGTCGCCTGGGGGACAGGGCAGGGGTCACAGGTCAGGTCAGAGGTCAAAGTGAACGGTCAGCGGCCTCCGCTCGACAGTCGCCTGGGGGGACAGGGCAGGGGTCACAGGTCAGGTCAGAGGTCAAAGTGAACGGTCAGCGGCCTCCGCTCGACAGTCGCCTGGGGGACAGGGCAGGGGTCACAGGTCAGGTCAGAGGTCAAAGTGAACGGTCAGCGGCCTCCGCTCGACAGTCACCTGAGGGGACAGGACAGGGGTCACAGGTCAGAGGTCATGTCAGCGTTTACAGACTTCCGATCGACAGTTGCCTGAGGGGACAAGGCAGGGGACAGAGGTCAGAGGTCATGTCAGTGGTCAGAGGCCTCCGCTCGACAGTCGCCTGAGGGGACAGGGCAGGGGTCACAGGTCAGAGGTCACGTCAGTGGTCAGAGGACTCCGCTTGACAGTCGCCTGAGGGAGAACGGGGCAGGGTTCGTAAGTCACAGGCTTGACAGTTGCCTGAGGGGACAGGGCAGGGGTTACAGGTCAGAGGTCATGTCAGCGTTCAACGGCTACAGGCCTCCGCTCGACAGTCGCCTGAGGGGGACAGGGGTCACAGGTCAGGTCAGAGGTCAAAGTGAACGGTCAGTGGCCTCCGCTCGACAGTCGCCTGAGGGGGACAGGGCAGGGGTCAGAGGTCAGTGGCACCCACTCGACAGTCGCCCGAGCGAGACAGAGCAGGGGCCAACAGCCACAGGCCTCCGCTCGACAGTACCATGAGGGGGACAGGGCACATGTCCGAGTTCGCCAGCGGTCTGTAGGTGGTCTTTACAGGCCAGAGGTGAGAGGTGAAGACCAAGAGTAAGAGGCCAGGTCAGCAATTGGTAACTGACATCAACAGGTCAGTAATAGGATGCCATCTGTGGTCAGATAACGGGCCATATAGTTAGATCTGACCATACGGGTCAGAACGGGGTCAAAGGACGTGACCTGTCAAGCTGAATGAACCGGGTAAGAATCAAGGCTTTCGGCAGAGCTGATTGGCACTTTCCTAGTGGAAAAAAGCCTCGTAATTTTGTTCAGTTGCGGTGAGACAGCAATTATGTTAAGTATCGTCACCTAAGGATTTCCCTTCACAATGTTGGAAACTGGCTTCAATTGAAAGACATTGGTGTCGCCGATCCTGGGTGCATTATTTACATGATTTCATCACACGAAGTGAAGAAAGGCGAACATGCGTAGAACTCTCAACTCTGGCCGGGATTATATGTATAATTCAGCTGAAGGAATGTAATGTGTTTAATCTGTTGAACACAACCTGCATCAACCATCGGAAGATAATGTTGGAAAGGCCAGCCAGCCTGCCAGCCACCGGGCCGGGTAAACTAATTATGCCGCAACCTAACGTCCAATTAGACACTTGACAGAGCCGCAGAGCGGGAGCACACTCGAGCGGTGGCTTCATCCGCCCGGCTTTAGTAATGAGCCTCCACATGTGGCTACCTCTCCGTCAAACGGATAAGGCGAAAATGAATAACAGCGTGGTTACGCGTTGTATGTAGAGTTACCATACTGTGGACAGGCGGATTTCGGTGGCATGTGTGCGTGTGTGTGGGAGGGGGGGGGGAGGCTGGTGGTCAGTGAAAAATCTTCATCAGTACCGTCGTTCTGGGTGTATGTAGGGACATCTAATTTTAACTTTATGCGATAACAGAAAACACGTTTTATGAATAAGAAGATACCGACCTAAGGACAAGTAAAAGTAACCACAACGCGTAAGCACATTGCACAGAAATGCATCGTTTCATTTCATATAAACTACCACAAAGGTCACTTTTCATTTAACTTTTATAGTTCAATATAAAGTCCCACTTGTAACGTTATTAAACGAATGCAACATTCATCGCCGTATGGTGTACAGTAAAGTGGCTTCCTTCTCAATTTAATGCTACCCGATCTCCCATATAGCATCCCTGAGCACTTCGCATCTCATCACCTTAAGTGGCGTACGGCTCTCGGAACACAGCATCTGAACGCCTTTCGCGCGCATCTTGTGTGCTAAAATTTTACAACCGCTTCCACGTTGCCGGTTAATACTTCTTTAAGGCGCCATGACAGAGAAACGACTTTTTAAAGAGCGCATCTGCATAGCAGCCGCGGTGTTGAGCCTCCGGCGACGCAGCTGCTAAAGCGGGCTTTCAACCAATAAGCCGGCAGCGGGGAGAAAAACAGCGCCACGTTGCAGCCCGTGACGGGTCCGGTCTGCTGAGCGGTCCCGGGGGACGGCCGCCGCGCCGCAGGCAGAGTTCACAAACACGCGCCGGCGAGTACACACCGCGGCACCCGGCACACAGGCATACACACACCGGCACATACGCATAAACAAATAAACACAGGCACATACGCATAGGGAGGTGCACACACACAGAAATACATAAGGACACCCAACGACGCAAACGCACTTAGCATTGATTGCTGTTCAACTGGCCCCGCATTTGGAAACACTGAACAAAAATACATAAAATACACATCGTCCACACCACACACGTACCTATAAATCGTTTATATTTGAATATATTTATCTACAGTTTCGCTTTCCTAAACCCCAGACCCAAGAGACAAGTAAGCAGGCCCTAGTCCCGATTATCGCAGCCAGTCAGCTCGCACTGACCGTTGATGGTGACGTTGAAGGCCAGGCTGCCCTCCTGACCGGGTAGCACGCTCCGGTAGCAGGCCTCCTGAAGTGTGGAGAAGTGCAGACCGTCGCCCGTTGCCATGGAGATGAAGCAGACGCGACGAGCCGAGGGCGATGACCTCGACAGAGGAGAGGCCACCAGAAAGTGGGTGTTGTTCTCCTGCCAGCTACCGTGGCAACGATACTCTGCCGGTAGAGAGAAAACGGTGTGAGAGGCCCGGTCAGCAGCTGAGTGTAGGCTGCTAAATCATTACAGCGTTACATACAGCGGAGCAGGCGGGGGAAGTACCGGAACGGAGCGAACAGCATCGGCCGTGGGGAAAGCTTCGGGGAAGATCCGCCCGCGTGCCGGCCCGTAATCGTACATCCAACGAATGCATTCAGTGTATGGCCTTGTTCACTTATTGGGGGGGGGGGAGGAGTCGCCGTACGGAGGGTTAGCACTTAGCAAGATACATGGAAAAAATGCCACCGTACGCATTATGCGGATTGCAGATCCAATAGGTCATTTCTGTATGGCGTGCAATAGTTGCATCGGCTACACTTGGAAAGTGGAAACCCAATATGATAACTGTATGAATGAGCAAGTAGACACAAGCAAGCTTGGCATTGTCTATGTCTTGGTCAAGTCTGACCATCACAGCCTATCACGTCCGTGATCCGGGCTTGGCCTGGACCTGGTCCGGTCCGTGCCTCACTTGAGCCCCTCTTTCCTCTCAAAAGAACCCTATCTCCTCTCTCTCTCTTTCTCTCTCTCTCTCTCTCTCTCTCTCTCTCTCTCTCTCTCTCTCTCTCTCTCTCTCTCTCTCTCTCTCCCCCCCTCTCTCTCCCCTCTCACCTGAGCTCTCTGTCCTCTGGCGACACTCTGAGCGCAGTTCCAGTGTATCAGAGGCGTGGCAACCCATCACCAGGGTACTGAACGCCCCCGAGCAGGCGTCTCGCACGCGGCGGCCCTCCCGCTGAACACCAATGACCGCGTGTCGGCCCAGGTACGGGCACGGGTGGGACGGGTGGGAGGCCGCTGTTCAGAAACACAAATACAAACGGTTAGAGGGTGCAGACGTGCAGAGAGGAGACAGAGTGTTGATGATACTGGGAGTCGACGGCAGCAGAAGTCAGAGTTAATGAGCATAAGCGTTTGTGACTGCATCGAATCGCATCATATAGGAGGATGTTACAGGTTCCAAAGGTGAAACAATTCACCAGCACATCAGTTTGAACACATAACATTTAGGTGAGCATTACAATAGCGATGTTATCCATGTTTTTTTTGTGAATCGTGTGATTTTATGCACTCGTATTTATGTATAAAACACATTTTCCTCCGAATCATAGCAGATCCGTGCACATCATATCAAACAGCTCCATTCGAGTCATTCTACTCCCGAGGCCACCTAGTTTGGTCTCGTCTGCGCACGACCCCACTCCCCCACCCCCAGCAGCCCCCTACCCCCAGGAGAGTCAGTACTGACCGACTAGCGTGGTGAAGTTGTGGCGCGTCTCGTCAAAGAACTGGCAGGCGGCCTCGGGCGAGGGCACTACATCACCTGAAGAGAGGGATGAGATGTCAACAAAATTACGATCAATAGGCCAACCATACCCGTCGCGGGTAAAAGCTTCAATAGAATCAACAGCGGACATCAATTTATTACGGATACAGTATACACATTGCTTGATGTGTTCCGCGTATTCCTAACCGACCGACCAGCGAACTAAAACGGTTAAGTACATATTGTAGATGGCAGAAGCAAAACGTTCATGAACAGTCGCTAAAATAACGATAATGTAGAATAAAGTATCATAATTATTGTCTCCAAAGTCAGTTCCTACAGAAGTGTGGCCACCCCGTGGCCCGTACCCGCCTAGGTACTCTACCACTTATCATATTAGATCGCCTTTCATTGCCGTTCCTTCCAAGAAGCATTCCACTGACATCAGCAGACGAAATGCTTACGTCCTTGACCCCCACGCTCACACCTCCTGTCTTTGAGATATTCGTGACCTTTCTCCCACAGACCACATACACACATACACATTCACATACACAGGACCCCCCGCCATTTATCTTCCTTCCCCTGACCTCTGCACCATGAGCAGGTGACTGAATATGAGAGGTGTACGGGTGTGGGTGTGGGTGTGGGTCCGTCACTCACCAAGTTTTATCTCCACCACGTGCCGGTCACGTCGATAGAGCACGGCGCACTGGTAGCCGCTCGTGCTGTCGACAAGAGAATACACAGGTAAGATACGGGCGAAGGGATGGGAGAGTGGGAAAACTGGTGTGGTGAGAGACACATTACATCACATTTGATTGGTAAAAGTGGATAGCAAACCGCACAACCATGAAAAAGTGATCATTGAAAAGTTGTTATCACGAGGGAACACATTGCTATTCTCCTATTCAAAGACAGTCCCAATGCGGTTTCAGTCAGTCACCGAATAAACTAATGCTGCAATGGAAGCGATGGTGTGTGCATCGAAATGCAACGCATTCCAATCCACAAGCAACATTGCATCGCAATGTTGCCAAACCACCAAATCGACACGCTTGAGAGCGCAGCTCTCCGAGTGCGTCGGCTCGCACACCGTCTCTTTCTCAGCCCCGAGGGCACGGCGCCATTTTCACACTGATATTACCGACCGGTTCGAAAGCCGCCGGGTGCAATGCTAAATCACGGCGGCGGTTCATATGGCCGGCGTCCCGGGGGCGCCAGGAGCCGGCTGCCAAATAACATCGGCGTCTCAGCGTCCCCCGGCGGCGACTTAATCAGAGAGACGCTCAGTTGACACGGTTTTAATAAATCCGCGGCGCCCGCGCAGGAAGGAGCTGAGGCCACAGGGGGCCGGTATGAGGTCTGATGGTCCGGAGGGGTCAGGTACTGAGTCTGTTGCTATGTGGGACCGGCACAGAGGTGTGGTGAGGCCAGAGCAGCCAAAAGAGACACCAGTCGACGCACGTGGCCGACGCGCTGGCGGACTGGGATGGAAGGGGTCAGGCGGCGGAGACAGGTCCAAATAGACGACGGTGAAGAGACTCTCCACGGAGCCGGGTTATGGCAGGATGAACTATGGGGGCCACGCCTTTGGAGGCTGCCCGAACAGGACGGAAGACCAGCCCGGGAGGGGCGGCGACGATTCTGTCACAGCGAGTAAAGAATGGCCAGACCTACGCAAACCCGTTATCATAATTTATCAGCTGTCGAGTCAACATTGTGTTTCGCTGATATTAGGCGGACTGAACAAAGACAACGAGCGAGTGAAATTGCAGGTATTACGTTTCGTTGTTATTGCGTGCCGGAAACAAAGCGAAAACTCGGACAGCGGTGACGCGTCTTTATAAATTCAAACTGCTGCACCAATTGTGGGCCTTATGAAATGTAAATTAAATGCACTCATGCCGAAGTGATCAGGGACAGCCTCATATGTGATAGCAAACAGTAATCACTTTCAGGCCGGCAGCGTTCGGGCTCCAGGTGGAAAACATATTACCGGTCGCACGCGAGTCGGGGTATCGAGCGTCGACCACGCACCCGGACCGGCCCCGCCTTCACGGCACGAGCAATATAGCCGAGCGGGTCGGCACCCACCGTCCTAATGGCCATATCTCTCTACGGTAATGAGCACACACGACAGACGGCCATATGCCGTAATGAATACTTAGCCATCGAACGCGTCAGGGGCGGCGGGCTGCTGTATCGGTAGGCCGCGCTTGGCGATACGTTACAGGCGATATGGAGTGCCCCCCCCCCCCACTGCAGAAGTGTTATGGTGCACTATTGAAAAGAGTGCGGGTAACGCTGAATGAGGCGCATACCTGGCGCGTTGATGAGCACTGTCGGAACGCGGGGCCGTGAGCGATGAGTGACATGTGGTATATGAGTGATGTGTTATGTGTACCTAATGGTGTGTGAGTGATGTAGACTGGAAACGTACGTGTGTTGGCTGATGGGCGATAGGTGAACGTACACACTACACAAGCGTACACCACAGGGCGTGTGCATATGAGCACAACACATTGCGAGCGAGAGAGTTTGTCTGCCAAGTCCTGACAAGTGTCATGGCAAGACTCAAAACTGTTCAGAATCCGTATTACATTGCACCTAATGCCTGCCATTAGTAAATACCAAACATTTGAATCAACCGAACATCGCTGCTACGTCTGTTTGTGACCAGTGAGCTGAAACTTCATGACGTCAGGCGCACACCGCTCCCCCACGACTGCTAATGGAACTAGCTAATCGATAGCGTGGCCCGAGTCATTAGTGACATTCCTCTGATGATGGACCACGGATGATTGGTGATCTGCGCATAGCTCACCAAATGACGAGCCGTGCCTCACAGAGTCACCAAATGGCCATGTCAAAACTTGTGCGTCTATCATCGTAAGCAGTTGGTCCCAGTACCCTCCGCAGCTTGCTTTACGATCGCAAAAAGTCGACGGAGTCAGTCAAGCTGGTACGGTTAATAACGGAAACGAGATGAGCTCCCGACAGGAGGCCGCTGTAAAGTTAGGAGAGCACTAAATCGGACCACCGGCGCCCGGAGTGCCCTTCGGAAAGGTCTGACCATCCGGGCGCCATCGGACGCGCCAATAAAACACGAATCGCCGCGATGAACCTAAGAGCCGCTTCATCCTGTTGCCACTTGAGCTCTCTGAGATCGAGCGCGCCGGCCGAGTGTCGCTACTTGGCCGGCGAGTTAAACTCAACTCGGGCTCAGCTCATCAATCTTGGGTCGATCCCTCACATCTGGCCTCGGCAGAGAGCCGGGCAGCTCCGGAACAGGCCGGCCAAATTCTCCGCCCACCGACACGTTCGCGGGCACGGGATGGCATTCTGACGCAGTCAGCCGCCCGAAAAGTGACATTTTCTGGAGATGATTCGATGGACGTATCTCCGTACCACACTAAGCGATGATTTAATGGAGCGTTCTCGGTTCGCTGAGGCGTGCATACTGATTTCACAACAATGGCGCGGTTGGCGTTCAAGAACGAAGAATATGCCGTGGCATTTACACCCACGCTTGAAACCATTTCGGCCCACAGCCGCGTTATAGTCAGTTATTTATATGGCTCGATAACGATGAATGCCTGAACATAAAGGTCCCTAGGCAGATTATCATTGTTAAATAAAGCGTGATTCTAACAGACTTGTAAACGACTCTGAGTTGATTCGTGAATCGACTCAGAATCAAACCGTTTTTCGATGAGTCATGAGTTGATTCGAATCACTTCATCGAGGAACTTGATGAGTCATGAGTTGATTCGAATCAATTAAATTCAACATCATGAGTCATTTGATGAATCGATTCAAATTTTCAGACTCAAACAAAGAATCGACTCAAAAAAAATTTGAGTCGTTCACAAGTCAGCATCAACACCCTAATAATCAATGCTAGATCACCCCCTCAGCTTTAGCCATCACTTAACTCCATATTTCAGACTTACAAGAGCCTCAGAGGCTCAGGCACAGGCGCCTAATGAGCCAAAAGCATTTGGCAGTTGATAGGTACTTAGTCTTACCAAACCAAGTGCCTGCTACACTACCTAGGTACCTACATTTTACATGTCAGAAGTCAGAATTGACACCTGCGGCTGCCTCCCCTTCTCCCAGTCCCAATTTGGTCCCAATAATCAATCAACAGCATAAGAATTTGGGCGTCTATAGAGTCAAATACGCCCAAACTACCTATAGGCTATGCTATAATATAAATAAACTCACCTAGGTCGGTAAAGCTGGCGTCACCGTCGCCTTCCCGCCAAGGTAGGCCGTAATGACCAAGGTCACGTATGTCAAACTAGTGACAGATTCAGATCGCAGTTACCGTGCGATCGTACTAACTTACTGCAAATTTGTGCTAACCTGCTGCAGTGGAAAATAAGTAAGTACTAACTTACTTCAAATTTGTTAGTTCCAGATGTTCCAGATGTGTGCAACTTACCCCCTACCCCTTAATCGGCCCTTAAAGGAAGGGGCGCGTCAAAAGTGCCTCAAGGGTTCGTCTGATCGCCAAAATAAGGGTCGCAATCGATTCTTCGGGTCAATATCTAGGCGCAGCCTCGGGTTCCAGATGTGTGCAACTTACCCCTTACCCCTTAATCGGCCCTTAAAGGAAGGGGCGCGTCAAAAGTGCCTCAAGGGTAAGTTGCACACATCTGGAACCCGTGGCTGCGGCTAGATATTGACCCGAGGAATCGATTGCGACCCTTATTTTTGCGATCAGAGGAACCCTTGAGGCACTTTTGACGCGCCCCTTCCTTTAAGGGCCGATTAAGGGGTAAGGGGTAAGTTGCACACATCTGGAACCCAAGGCTGCGGCTAGGTATTGACCCGAAGAATCGATTGCGACCCTTATTTTGGCGATCAGACGAACCCTTGAGGCACTTTTGACGCGCCCCTTCCTTTAAGGGCCGATTAAGGGGTAAGGGGTAAGTTGCACACATCTGGAACCCGAGGCTGCGGCTAGATATTAACCCGAGGAATCGATTGCGACCCTTAGTTATGCGATCAGACGAACCCTTGAGGCCCTTTTGACGCGCCCCTTCCTTTAAGGGCCGATTAAGGGGTAAGGGGTAAGTTGCAAACATCTGGAACCCGAGGCTGCGGCTAGATATGGACCCGAGGAATCGATTGCGACCTTTATTTTTGCGATCAGACGAACCCTTGAGGCACTTTTAACGCGCCCCTTCCTTTAAGGGCCGATTAAGGGGCAAGGGGTAAGTTGCACACATCTGGAACCCGAGGCTGCGGCTAGACATTAACCCGGGGAATCTATTGCAACCCTTATTTTGGCGATCAGACGAACCCTTGAGGCACTTTTGACGCGCCCCTTCCTTTAAGGGCCGATTAAGGGGTAAGGGGTAAGAGCTAGGGCCAAATAAAGGTCATATTCTTGCTCCCCGTCCCCCAATTGACCTAATATGAGTTTTTTGAGCGGTTCTGAATCCGACGCTGTATTCGTTGTTGTTGCTGACGCTAACTTCACGGACATAATACTTACTTGTTTTCCACTGCAGCAGGTTAGCACAAATTTGCAGTAAGTTAGTACGATCGCACGGTAACTGCGATCTGAAGCTGCCACTAGTTTGACATACGTGACCTTGGTCATTATGGCCTACCTTGGCGGGAAGGCGACGGTGACGCCAGCTTTACCGATACCTTAACTACTTTCAATGAGTCTCAACTCAAGATCATATCTGATTCTGAGGCCTGAGCCACTCATGCAAGGTCATGGCCTCCTCGTTTGCTCCTCGTGGCCCATGAAGTCCCTGCTGATGCTGAATGTGTCACAGGTGGGATTAATCCTATTTTTGAGGTTGTACTGTTTGAATAATTTTATGTGATAAGTAAGAAGTAGTAACATTTGTTTCATTATCATGTAGAAAAAGTTTGATTAAAAAAAACATGAATGCCTCTCGGAACTTGTGCTTTTGAATTTTCAAAAAGACTTTCTAGGTAATAGATAGGTTACTATGCTACTCCTTAGTCCTCACTTATATTATAATTGTCTCTCAGAGTTACTTACAAATTTATCTGATATTGCACTGTTGACTGTTGAGTGTTGAAGATAGGTAGGTGTAAGGTAGATACCTATGTACCTAGTCCTACTAGGTAGCTGCTTGAATCTTTCGTCAAGGCTACTATGCTGCTTAATACAATTGTGGTATGCGGCATATTCATTTTATCATAGCTTTGAGTCAAATAATCAACAAATGCCTATAGTGAGTCATGGGTTGAATGAAATAAGTTCAATAAAAATGTCGCGTGAGTCATGAGTTGATTTGAATCGATTCATCAAAATGTGAGTCATGAGTTGATTCGAATCATTCCGTTGGCTAGTTGCTCGAGTCATGAGTTGATTCGAATCATTTTATCGAGGAACTTGATGAGTCATGAGTTGATTCGAATCAATTAAATTTAACATCATGAGTCGTTTGATGAATCGATTCAAATTTCCAGACTCAAACAAAGAATCGACTCAAAAAAAAATTTGAGTCGTTTACAAGTCTGGATTCTAAAGGGTAACGCCCAGTTCGCAAAGAAGACTGTTTGGTATCACCTCCCACTACTTCCAAAGCCCACAGTTTCTGAGATTGAGAACGTAAGACTGACCTTTACCCTCCTTCTGACACAGAGTCATTGCTTAGACACAAAGAGCTACGCCTTCGCAGCATATTTCGGAGATTCCACTGCCGCTGACACACAATATGCAGCACAAGGAGGATCAGCACTGCTCTCAAATATAGCACACCCTCGACTATATTCAACACATTTTGACGAACCAAAGACAGCGCCTACCTTAGTTCTATCCACATCCACCTATCGGACAACGCCACCGCACAGAGGCCCACCAAGCCTTCCTCACAGGCAGCAGCAGGCCACACTCATTACTGGAAGACACACCAGCGACACCCGCCCGCACCTCCGACTCCGTCTCGGCACCCGGCATGTCATACTCGGCGCATCGATTTCGGCATTACGGCCGAGATCTGTCGGCGGCGCGAGCCGGCGGCCGCCATTTCGGTAATGGCCTGTCCGTATCGGCGCGAGCCGGCTAACCGGACAGCGAACCGGGACAGACAGATAGCGGGGCAGCGAACCGAGCCAGAGGGATAACGGGACAGCGAACCGGGAAGCGAACCGATCCAGACGGATAACGGGTGAAGCAAACAGCCAGACGGATAACGGGCAGCGAACCGAGACAGAGGTATAACGGGACAGCGAACCGCGCAGCGAAGCGAGCCAGACGGATAACGGGTAAGCAAACAGACAGATGGATAAGGGGACAGCGAACCGAGACAGACGGATAACGGAGCAGCGAACAGAGGCACGTGATAACGGGGCAGCGAACCGAGACACGTGGATAACGTGGTATCGAACAGAGACAGACGGATAATGCGGAAGCGAACCGAGACACACGGATAACCAGACAGCAAAACGAGACAGACTGATAACGGGACAGCGAACCGAGAAAGACGGATAACGGGGAACCGAACAACAGGAGACAAAGGAGCGAGATACGTGGATAGTGGCTTCGCAAGCCGAGGAAAATGGTACGCTTATTAGAACAGCGAATCAAAATGCTTGGAAGGCGGCTTAGCGAGGTAGCGGACCGTATGACTCGGACAGGTTCAGTAATTAAGGCACGAGGAAGGCACAGGGTAAACACGAGCCAGACCATAGTTGAAACCGGCCATGAACTTTAATTGCGAGAGTTGCACAACAAAGTTCATTTGAAGTTTGAAACTCAACATCTTCCGCGGAACGCGTGGGTTCTAAACTGAAAAGAATGTTTATTCACAGAGCTGGGAGCTCGACCATTGTGAAACTCGCAGATATTAGACAAATACCGAGCACCTATTGTTCATTCCAAAGTTCGAGATCCGGCATGTATGCCTGATAACCTGTCTGGCCTGTGCTAACTGCGCAGAGCATCCGCCTTACCGAGGAACATCTCATGGCAGTGATCATCCCCCGCGCGCAGTGATATAGGGCGAGGGCGGACGCGCCGATTCTTCCGACGCCGATGGACCAGATACAGAGACGAGACGCGTCCGTAACGACGGCAGTACGGACAGAACGACCGACCTTGGGCTACAGATAGGCAGAAAGGCGGCGCGGCGGAACGGAGCAATCGCCGCCAGACGAGGGGACCGGGAACCGGGAACAGTGACGAGGGGAGATAGTGGCCACACTGAGCGCCAAAACGGCCGGATTATCATTTTATCTTTGCCTTAGCGCGCTCTGGAGGGAGATAGCCCAGACGCGGCCGGCAGAGTTTTCCGGATTCACCCGGAAATCTTTTGGTCCGCCGCCGGCACGTGCTGGTATCAGTGGACCAGCGGACGAAATTCATGAGACACGTCCGAGGCGGAAACCTCTGCGGCTGATGTCGGGATTAGGGTGATAGGGGCACAGAGGAACGGGTTAGCCTGATATCCCGATGTCTGTGCACTTAGTATCATATTCGAGGTAAATCAATTCCATTGAACAGCACCGACTTTCATAAACGCATAGTTAATATGCCTCGCAAAGATAGCTTAAGTGTCCAACGTGCCCAGCCTTTCTCACTAAGTGGCTTAGTGAACGTGTCATATTCGTCAATGTCAAAGCCGAGTTGAAATGTGTATTATCCGTCGGCATGATAAATTAGGCTTCAAAGGGCCCATTGTTGGCGCATGTGGATTGAAGTTAATGTGAGTCAGCTGTACTAAGCCGGGCTGGCCCACCCGCCCGTAGCAGGCAGCGGCTGGGTTACTGCAGTCCCATCGGGTGAGCTACTGCAGTTCCACCGGCTGGGTTACTGCAGTCCCGGGTGGGTTACTGCAGTCTCACTGGGTGAGTTACTGCAGTTCCATCGGGTGGGTTACTGCGGTCCCACTGGATGGGTTACTGCAGTCCCACCGAGTGAGTTATCGCGGTCTCACTGGGTGGGTTACCGCTGTCCTACTAGATGGGTTACTACAGTCCCAACGAGTGAGTTACTGCGGGCTCACTGGGTGGGCTACTGCAGTCCCAGCGGATGGGTCATTCTAACGAATAGTGTTTAATTTAAACTATTGACCGAATGCAGAGTTTTAATAGTCGAATAGTCACAGCCACTGCCCGGTTCCATGCCCATGGTAGTGGCGGGGAAGAGTTACCCCCCCCCCCCCGTCCACGCGGCGGCACCTACCATCCTCGACTGTGGTGGAACACCACCTGCGCGCTGTTCTCGCTCAGCTCCGTGATCTGACTGCAGATCAGCTTGGTCGACTCGTCGTCCTGACGCTCCTGACCCGGCCTGGAAACATCAGATACCCCGCGTCAGTACGGCCCACGCGCCACAGAGCGAGCGCATTCCAGAGAGCTGCGTCACAGCCAGGACCAATGGAGGCTGCACATGATCGAATGTTAGCGGAGCAATGGAGAGCGAACAGGGTCAGGTGGACATTTTGACGCCAGATCCGGCGTGTGTTCTATTAGTCAGCACTCCACATTAGTCAGACTTGCTCGCCGTCTAAGTAATCCCAAAAACAGTCCGCATTAATTGTTATCAGTCTATCGCTTCCTTTTCAGAATACGAGACCAGACAAGACAATAACTGTGTACACAATGACACATAAGCTTACAAGTGACACCAACTGTAAAAGCTAGAACACAACGGCTGAGGCACCCATCTTTTTAGCGCCACCATTTCGCCAAATGTCGGTCAAACTGGCGCGCACGGCGCGAACACAATCGCCTCTGCCGCGCAACGGTGGCGCTGAATGGCGCCCAATTTACAGATAGCGCCGGCCCATCACCGGTTCAAGTCAACACTCCCTTCCCTCCCTCGCTGTTCCTCTAGACGGAGGAGGAAGAGGAGTGAGGAGGAGGAGTGGAGTGAGGAGCGAGGAGTGAGGAGCGAGGAGTGAGGAGTGAGGAGCAAGGAGTGAGGAGGGGCGAGTGCCGATCTGCGACAATAGCGGCGCAGGCCTGCAGCTGATGTCGTCATTAGTCTGTGGAGGGCCGTGGACCGTCGATGGGGATATATTACGGGGAACAGCCAATCGCTGTCGGTATTTCGGCCGCTGGTCTGACCAGCCGGAGGGGAGGAAAACTGGAGGCTGGACGAGCGGAGGCCCCTGGGTCAGAGCGAATCAGCAGGAGAGAATAAGAGAGATAACACAAAGGAGAAGGACACGTATTGAAACCAGAAAGTGTAAGTAGGGACTCTACAGAAGGATCAGAAACTCAGAGGTTACAAGTTACAACTCACCCTCGAGTTCAAGAGGACTTCTCAGTCAGCTTGCTTTACCAAGACCTACAAGATTAACCCGCGCACTGACGGGGGGGGGGCGGATATCCGCCCCCCCCTGAGGTTTTTCGCGAATAACGGGAAAACCGCGGCGCGTAGCGCCGCGAAATTTGGTATGACTATTACCTCATCAATTTTACACATGGTGTGCAAGTTTGAACCTCCTACCTATTAAGGTCAGGTCACCAGGTCACTTTGAATGACCCAACCTCAAGTCACTTTTTTGCAACTTTGTCACCGTGCCAGAGCTACAGTAGAAGTCGGAGGCCTTTGAAATTCGCAGGATGTTATAAGGTCATTAGTAGCTACAATTTGTATATCTCGGAGTTTTGATATCGGTGACCTAAGGTCAGGTCAATTTCGCGACCTCCCCATTATAAGTCAATGGGGGAAAAATCAACTCCCTGTTTTTACCACTAAAACGGGTCGGAATGGCCCCATATACCATACATGACTTCATATCCGATCAACCTTCACTACCTTGAGGTCTGTTTTGCTGTTGGGCAGCTGTAAGGTCATGTGACGTCATCAAAGGTCACCAGCGGTTTTTTGCCAATAACTCCGTACAGGAGCAAGATACAGCCGCGCGGATGGTCTCATTGTGTTCAGCTCGTCAAGACGCATCGAATGATATACATGATGACCTCGAGGTCACGTGACCTGAGGTCAACCTTTGACCTTGACCTTTCGAGGTCAACATATATATCATTCGATGCGGATTGACGAGAGGATCACGATGATGCTCTTAGTTTGTTCCTATCTTGACTAATTCAAAAGTTATTCGAGAAAAACTCTCCATATCTAGCGCCGCCATTTTGACTTTTTCGACCCCTGTGACGTCATCTTTGACCTGACCTGAAAATGACCTTAGTAAAAATTGTAGACCTTGTCCGTGCGTATCCGATGCCGTTTACCGCTTGTCGCTAGCTTGCTTCGTTCTCGAGATCTCAGGGGGGGGGGCGGTCATCCGCCCCCCCCCCGTCGGTGCGAAGTTGGCGCAGACCCCCGTCGGTGCGCGGGTTAACCTGCCTAGTACTGGCCGGCACGAACAGCGACAGCTCTGTCGGACTGACGGGCCGCGAGACTGTGCTCCGGCGGTGCTCCCGAGGGTGCCCTGAGCGCCGTACTCACCCCTGCTCGTGGCTGACTTTGATCGAGTGATTCTTGTGGAAGATGTGGAACCGCAGTCTCGAGTCCATCCTGTGCCACTCGTGGTGCGCCGTCAGCCACTCTGGCAGGCGACACTTGGCTAGCCGGCGCCGCTCTGAAACCAGGCCGGCGCGGCGGAGGTGTCAGCGCGTCACTGCGTACATACACAATCAGGAATTGATCTCACACATACAGTCAACATTGTACAGTGTGCGCTGAGTCATAGCGGACAGAAACATGCAGATACACTCACATTTCTAAAATAAAATATTTGATCCGCGAATAGCTTCGCCTCACTACACGATAGCATGAACCCCGCGCGGTAACGGGAAACATTGCGGTACAGCCTAGCTCCCAGTGATTACTACTGCTGCCATCTATGAGCGAGATTATAAGCAAAGTGCTTTGCGGCACAGCATAACTGCAGACATTGTATTGTGCTGCCACCTGGCGGCGCGGTGGTGGAACACCCAGACTCCAGAGGTGCTCCATGATTCATTTGCTCAGAGTGAGCTTTATTTGAAACTTTATTTACCGCGAATTATTGTGGTTATCTCGATATTAGGCCTCTAGTACACGAAATCCATACTCAATTGAACGAAGTAATGACATCTTTCTGTGATTTTCTTGTCTTTGCTCAACAGCTAACCGTAGTTTGTGAGAAGAAAATAGCTATAGTTAAGTAATACGCTAGATCATCACTCCATATCTAAAGGCTAGTGCGAATAATGCTGTTTTATGGATTTTAAACCATAGAATACGTATAATACCGCAAGCATAAACCACGATTTGGATATGCCCGAAAAGCTCGTGACACACTCGAATACATTCGTGATGAATGGTAACTCATCATATCATTTCTTAATGAAAACAGCCGAGATGTCGTGTGCTGTTCCGTTGAAGGACACTGAGCCATACACTCTCGTGACACGGCGTGGCGCCAGGATGATCTCACTCTCTCGCGGTGAGAGATCTTATCGGTCCTTCTCGGGCCAGCCTCGGATTCACGGCGGAGTGTGTGCAAACATTAGTCATCTCCGCCACAAACGTGGGTGAGTTCATTTTATAGCCTTAAGCGCGATATTGGCACTTACCATGGGTAGGTTTTGCGGCGAACATTCACCCACAATTAGTGTGATTCATAATCTTAATTTGAAACTCATGATTGACTTATCGCTAGTTAGGTTCATACAGAGTACATATTACAGGCTGTAGACGAAGTTTCTGTCGTACACCATTGTCTAGTTTACTGGATTTCATGACCGACGGCAGAAATATTAACGGGTAGAAGGACTCATGGCTGAACTGTTCAACAGAGGAGCCATTTGCCATTGGCAAGATTCATGATTTTGTGTTCCATGGCAGACCCACTCACCGTGGTAAGATTCACAACCTTGTGCCCCACAGCAGATGAACTCACCATTGGTAAGGTTCATGACCTTGTGCCCCACGTGGACCGACTGCAGTCCCTGGCAGGTCGAGTCGCCGGACTGGACCACGTGGAAGCCCTGCTGGCCGCCGCCCAGGTCGAACGGCTGGTAGATGAAACACCGGTACCTGCCGGCCGGCACAGAGCACCCCGTCACCAGCTGCCGCCGTACACGCACGTGCGCCGCGCAAACTTCAAAGGAGCTGCACGGCAAAATTGCTTTCCGCAGACCGCTTGTGTTCGTCGAAAACATTGTCGTTCCGGCGTCGCTCCTCCAGGAAAATAACATCATTCTAAACGGTTCGCGCGGCCAGTCAAAAGCAGACAAAAGGCGTGACAGCTTTGTTGAAAATTACAGCATTTCACATTCCTAGCATAGCTACGCATGAGCTACATCAAGCAATTAAATTAACGAGTAGTTATAATAGTGGTTCATTATGTTAAGCAATGATCCACTATGGGCCTAGCTATGAAGTTATGCCAGTGCCGGCCTGAAACCACTCAGCCGTATTTCCAGACATATCCCTGGCTACTAGTGGACGAGCAGGCCCACTTTGAAGGCCCGGTTCAAAGAGTAGCTCACGGGTGAGCGATCCGTGGTGGCCGCAGTGCGGCACGTTTCGTATCATCGGTAGGCAGAGCGCCACATTCAGCACACCTGGACCACTCACACGGCTGTGCCCGGGGGCTCGGACAGAGAGGATGAGAGGGGAACTGACGGACTGACGGGCGGGCTCTGATGGGGTGAGGGCAACGGACGATAGACAGGTGGTGGGAGAGAGGGGAGATTGAATCGACATAAAACAAATATGAAACGCCCAATAGAAGCTAGCAGCGTGAACAAAAACACCGACCGGAAATGTACAGGGGCGCTGTTTTACAGGGCGCTGTTTTCTCTGAAATTGCAATTTGTTGTACAATTCGCAAAAAAATGTGTGAATTTCGACCGGAAACTTATGTCATGAAAACATAACCAGAGCACCAACCGTCAGCCACCCCACTAAAAGCATCATCCCTTCTCACAATGCACCCACCTGTCCGCGTCCGTCTTGGTTTTGACGCTGTTGAGCTTGCCGAACATGAAGTGAGTGTCGTGGTTGCGCCAGGTGGCGAGGCAGGTGAGGGTCTCTGAGAGTCGCTCGGCGCCGGCCACGTCCGGGCAGGCCTGATGCTGCAGCACCAGACTCCACGGATCGGCGCACGACCAGGCGCGCGACACGGGGTCGGCGCACACGCGGTCCGAGCGCCGGTAGTTGAACGTGAACCGGCCGCGGAACGGGCACGGCACGGGCGTCGGACGCACGCGGATCATGGTGTTGAGCGGCGCGTCGGCACCGATGGAGCGACACACCTGGCGTAGCGACGGGTGCGGGCTGCAGTACCGCGCTGAAAGGGTGCACAAAATAACGGTCAGAAGGTGCAGCAGGCAACAAGCGAGAGAAACAAATTCTGCTTCTCAGAGGGACGGCAAATTCTTATACAGTGGGAGGGTGAGCAAAGTTGTCAGAAGGTGTAACAAACGGTGGAGAGACAAACTCCGTTAAGAAAAAAAACAGCAAATTATATCAGATCAAAGGAGGCAGCGAACCCTTTGCTCAAGAGGCAAAGCGAATTCAAGACAAAAAGCGTAACAGCGATGAAACACCTCAACACACGGCAATGGCAATAGGCGATTATTAACCGAAGGTTTGTTGTCAATAGTTAAAACACTATTCTTTAGAATTGTGTTTTTCTATTGAAAAACAAATCTGAGTTCCCTGACAATTTGTCAAAAGTATACAGCGAGGAATCGCGTAGGGTTGATATTTTACCAGAATTGTCTTAACCTTTAGTTTCACGGTATAACAGAAGACTTCAATGGCTCGCCGCAGGTGGTATCAGAGATCAAACGGTATACATAGACGCTATGTTTTTCGGTGGCAGGTTTGTTTTGTTACTGGGCGACATCTAAAGCGCTGCGCCACTTTGTGCTCACTTCAATCCGCTTTGCGACAACGCTTCAAAACAGTCTGCTCCAAGCGCTTGCGCTCAATCAAATAGCAGTCACTGCTGCCTGAGCCGCTCTAGTTGTTTCACGTCCACTGTCTGCTACAAAACGGTCGTAAATTCAGGCTCAAACTATTATCTGATATGGTGAAGACAACTGGTTGGGTCGCACTGAGGATATGTATGTAAGTGCTGCTCACTCAAGAACACGTCGTAAACCGCGCTGTAACACTGATTGACCCTAGTTACAGTTTACTGGCATTTCCAAACATCGCAGAGTTTCCAGCTGGCCTCGTACTCACATTGCTTGAACTCGATGATGTTGGTGTGACGTTCAAACATCACTACGCAGATGTAGCAGCTCTGCTGGCTGAAACAAAATAAAAACGCCACGTCATGAAATCACTCCACGTCATCAAACAGACGTATGACGTCGCATCGCAGCCACCTGCCGCGCTGGCTGTCACTTACAGTAGCACGCGACCACCAGTGGTCAGCCGTGACACAATGTGACAGCGGCAGCAGACAATGCTGTTCTTACGTAAGCACGTGCTCAATATGACACTATCTGACCAATGTCACACTATCTGACCAATGTCACACTATCTGACAGCGGCAGCGAAAGGCGGCGCTGGCATTCGGTGAACACGCTCGTACAAATTACCTAGCGGTGTGAATCAAATCATGTATGCAAGGCGATTCAGGGTTATATTTCAGCGTCACCTATACACCAAACACTCCTTGCAAGCAGTGGACTATCCTGAGTTGAGCAGTCGAGCAAGGTGCTATTTTACCGGGACCCATGTCGGCCATTCATGAGCTTTCACTGCCGACAGTTTGCAGTACCTTCCACCACCTAGGCACACTGACACATCAATACCGTGTCAGAACGACAGAGTCGCGGCGCCTCATTTCGATATAACCGAGAGAACAACAGACAGTGATGAGACTGTACAGTGCACAGCTAACGGCTACGCTTCATTCTCGGCATGAAAATTGGCCGAAGGTGTGTTGTTTGGCGGCTCGTGGTTGCTTTGGTCCTTTGGAGGCTCACACAAACAAAAAGCGGCGATGACAAACACGACATGCATGCGATGTTTAGACTGTTCCCGGAAAGCAGCCAAGGAAATGTCTCACAATACGATCGCACGGTGAAATATTTCGAACAAAGCCGGCACCGGCGGAGAGCGGTCCGTCCAGCGGGTCAGTCTTGTTTGCGCAGTCGACCGTCCTAGAATGAGGAAACGAAGGAGGAAGAGGAGGAGATGCACGCCCCGGACGTGCTCCTCTCCGAGCTGACGGCGGACAACGGTCTGCTCCAGTCGCATCCGCTCCCAACTTTATAATCACCCAAACTTCTCGACAAGAAAAGTTGCCTCTCGGTGCTAAAACAGCGCATTCACGGTACTCCAAAGTCGCAGAGGCCGGCGCCGGCACGCCAGAGAAGTGCGAGCCACGGCAGAAGCGCGAAATAATGACCCGGGAAGCGCCAAAAGGCAGGAGTTCTTCCACCACCGAGATATTATTAGCGGCGGTTGTATGAGTGTGAGTGAGTCATTAGCGCGGCATCTATAATAATGAGCCAGAGCACAGACGGACGCCAGCTGACGTCACTGGAAAATGACGTCATGCCGAGGAGACTGAAAGCACACTGCAAGTCGCGCTGCCGTTCTCATCCCTGAGAAAACGCAAACCGCACTGTTTGGTGCGGAGACACCTTTATTCAGCGCCGTGAGGTGAATTATCCCATCCATTTCATACACGACAAAGGCCATGCATCTTCAGCGAAACACATTCAGCTTGTCATGTGAGCGGGGGAGAGCCGCACCGACGCCGGTCGAGCCTCCCATAAAACATCCTCCGCCTCTGCATGTGATCATTCGCCACCGAGTCTGGCGAATTTCAAAATCCCCAGGAACGCGCAGGCGTCTTACACAGGGTGACCCTACGACAGCTTGGGGCAGAGACGGCAGGCTAGCGGGGGAGCTGTTTTGAGTTAGTGCGACACTTACAAATGAGCTGCTTTGAGTGCGCAGGCTACGCCGCGTGAATAGCCAGCCACTTTTAGGAAATTGAAGCACGACCGTCGTCACCCTAAGAAGAGAAACAGAGGACAAAACTTGTTGCGAGAACGCAATTACGACATATTCCTACCCGGTGATTTAATGAAAGCGAACAAAGATGAATGAAAAGAGAAACATTGATGAGCCATTAGAGCACATAAGCAGGAAGCATACAAACAGCATATTCAGCACTAATCTTCTGTGAAGAGGCCTAAATCTCTCAGAGCTTTGCTGAGCCAAACAACGTTCCGAAAACTGATGATATCAGTATCAACTAAGTCCGAAATATCGGCGACGAGAGCGGCAGGGACCAGGCAGACGTCCGCTGATAAGCACACTGCTGCCACTGTCAGCACGCGTAATTAACAGCGCGGTCCGTCACTGTCAGAGCGCTCGGCAGCGCGGCCGTCACCGGCGCGCCGCCCGTCCATCGACCCGCGGCTCTCGGCACGTGTTTTCCGCGGTGCTTCTCGCCACTCCCTCGGGTGGAAGAACGGCGCGCGGATTCCGACGCCCCCTAAAAACGGCGAGTCGGCGGCGGCGTCGACGACGAGCGGCGCATTCTGATGCGCCGAGTCGGCGCGTCGGAGCAAATAGACGCGCCGCATCCATCACGGCGACTGCCATAACTCGCGGCCAAACAGGCGTCCGCGGCGACCACGGCGCGCCGCGGCCGCTAATGAAGAGGTGCGGCGACAGTGACGCAGGGTCGCCACCGACACGTCGGAGTACCGGTAAACAGGATCGCAGGAGCGATAATTGCCACCTGCCGCCCGACCCGGCGCCCTCGCGACCATCCGGCGCAGGCACGCCTCTCATGACACGCACTGTGCTCCCCGGTCACGCCGGTTGGCGACGAGGCTCGTCGGGGTGGAGGCAGGCGTGGGGGCTGCGCCGTGTTTGTATTTTTCAGCCGACATCCGACGGAGCGGGGACACGGCTGGCAGACGCCGCTGAAATTGGATGCAGGCGGCCGGTGACGGGTGCGCTCATTTTTCAGGCGCAGGGAAGCACAGGTGGCGAGTGGAGGCAATATTCCGAACGGCCGGGCCGCCGGGTGGGGACGGCCTCCAGCTGACGCCCGTCGGGACAGCCATAAGTCACTTACTCATGGCGGCGCCAGGGAATGTCAAACAGACCATTTGTCGCCCCAGAGGCCGGCAGAGATCAGCCGGGGTCAGGCCGGAGTCAGACGGGAGATCCAGACACCCCCGGCCGGCTCAGCGATCTGCCAGGTGTTGACAGGACGGCTCTGGCACGTCTAACCCTCCCCCACCAACACACCACGGCTGGCACGGCCACCAGACACCACGTGACAGGCAACACCTTCACCAGGTCACAACAACACCGAACTTGTTTGCCGCGAGAAACACGATGAGAACAAGCTAAGCCGATAAACAATAAATAACGGATTACTCGAGTAAACGAAATCGACAGCACGGTACAACACGCCAACCGTCACACAAGTTACTGTGACATTTTATCGAATATTTTCATATTGCCAGCATTCACTTCTTCGTTGAATGTAATAATAAGCAGATTGGCAGTGAATGGTGGAAAATAAAATGACTGATAGGCAGTGTCCCAAAGTTTGCCAGTTTGGGTGGGAAATGACATCCAAATCAAAATAATTTTCCACTTTCACCTCCAACTTTCCAGAGCAATTTTTCACTCCCTATTTTACCAATAAAGAGCATCTGCGGGTACCTTTTACCTCGCTCCATTTTCGATTCAACTCCACATCCTTCAACATTCACAAAAACATTGTTGATCCCTGCATGTTCTGCTTTTTTTTTTGCCTTTCTGACTGGAATTTTCCCACTCTCAACCCTCTTTATAGTGACGAATATTCCCCTCCGACACCCAAGCCGAAATATAATTTTGGAACACTGCTGATAGGTTTTTGATCGATGTAGTCGGAAAGAAGATTTTTACAATAAAGCAAACGTCTCAGCTTCACTAGAGACCGCTTGCTAAGATCCCCGCTCATGCATAGAAAATAGTAGACATACCCTACTGCTGCTATTGCCACCGTCACTATCATCTGCCACCACTGACGGGCGCTACTCACCCTTGTATGTCCCGCTGCAGGAGGAACTTTGTGTCGCGCTGCTGCTGCACACAGCGGCCCTGCGTCCCCAGCTGGTCCTCGGTGATGTTGAACACAGAGTCCTTCCAGTACCACTGGTCGATCCACGAGGACGGAAACCGGCACGGCTCCTCTGCGGACAGCAGAGAGAGACGGTCAACAGGGGTCGGAGGCGCGTGGGGGGGGGCCTTCAACAGGGGCCAGGGGCGCGAGGGACGGTCAATAGGGGTCAGCGGCCCGAGGGGCGGTCAACAGTTGGGTAAGCGACGCGGGTGACGGTCAGCAGGGGCCAGTGGCGCGAGGGACGGTCAAAAGTTGGGTCAGCGGCGGTCAACAGGGGCTAGCGCTGGTCAACAGGGGCCAACGGGGCGAGGGGTGGTCAACAGCTCCACGCCGCTCAGACAGCGAAATACGACCTTCCGGACATGGCGTGCCTGGATTTGATGTGAACTTTGCTTAAGTGGCCCGAGTTCAGCGCATAAATCGTCCGTAACACTGATCGATAACGGCTCGCTAGGTTCAGCTAAGTACCGGGTGTCCCAAAAGTAAGGTCATGATTTAAAACTTAAATATCTCGAGAAGTAAGAGTCCGAATCACTTCCAATTTTAACACGTGCAAGGTGCATCCATAAAATTATTTTCTTGCATGCTTAAACCATTTTTGATCATAACTACACCGAGCAGTAGGCATAAAACTGAGAAGGTCGAAATTCAACTCTTAGAGAGGGTCCGTCATTAAAACAAAGGGTAAATACCGCCCAGTTTTCGGCCCTAAGCAGACCCTATCAGCTCACCCTATCTCTGAACTCATGCATAGTTTCGTCTCAACCGGTAAAACGTCAGAAAAAAGGTATAATGTACGCACAGGGCATGTATACTTAGCCACCTGTGCTTCGAGGTCCTGAGGACGACAGCGGGAATCGGGTGAAAATAAATCAAGAGAGGTGGCCGAGAGTCCTCCCAGTGGTTCTTCCGCTCGTCGCAACGCAGCTGTGCCGACACCATCAGCCAGCAGTGGTTTCAGCAGGATGGAGACTATGCTTGCACCGTCCTGAGGATCATGCATTGTCTCCGAGAGTGGATGTGAGATCCCGTAATTTTCAGTCAGGGCAACGCCATTGAATGGCCTCCTCGGTCACCTGACGTTACACCTTCATATTTTTATTCTCTGGATACACAACAGAAAGATTGTCTTTTAGGACAACCCAACGAGCCGGGAAGAACTAAAGGATGATTCCTTCGAGCAAACATAGGCGGCATCTCACTAGAGAATCGCTCCAGAATAGTGGAGGAAGTCAAACGTAGTCTATTCATGCACGCGGCCCGAAATGGTAGCCATGTAGAAAAGCAGCAAATGTGGGGCTACGAGCCAATGTATTGACTCATATGTATGTCAGAATAAAATTTTATAAAATGCTCTTTCATATGATGTCCTATTTATATCTATCTATCGCGTATTTTTGGCAGTGTGGCCAAAACAAATGATGACCTTACTTTTGGGACACCCGGTAGACCTTAAATGGCGCCTAGCAAAAACCGATAGAACACGGTTAACGACGAGCGTGCTGCGGCGCTGCGCCATTTTTGAAAATACCGCAATAAATCCACTTAATATCGACGTGTCCATCGATCCCCAATGAAAAAGATACTGCTGATTTGCAATAAATCCTGTGCAACCGGTCTGCAGTGGCTCAGTGTAAAGACCAGCTAAGCCACGCGCGGTCACTGCTATGAGATATGGTCTGATGCCTAAAACCACAAAGTGAGTCCGTAAAAAGAACAATTTCAGCATCGAAACGTTGAAGCGATGCGTAACTGCATGTAACTTGAGTTAAAAACAAGATGCAGGCTTTGTAAATGTACAATGTACATTACATAATATCAATAAAGCATCAAACATAATGCAGGTATGAGATGCCAACCAGGAAAATCAGTGTCGGTTTGTCCGCGACTGGCCTCACCTAGCGGCATCGCTCGAGACCTGCATCGGCCATGCATGCAGGCCGTGAGGTCACACCGTTACGTGAGCCTGTCGTAACGTGACTCATCATTGCAGTAACGCGAAACTGCTACACCGTGACGCCGCCGTAACATAACGCTGCCTGTTCCGCGTGACGTGTCGCTTCGTAACGTCACCCTGCCGTAACGTAACCCTACAGTAACGTGACGCTGCCTGTCGTGACGGGCCACGAGGCTGAGCGGCGGATCAGCGGCGGTGGGCGGCCCTCCTCCCCGCCCTCAGCGCGGCCCGACCTGTTGCCGCCCGACGGCCCGCCCGCGAACCACATGCCGTCTGATGTCGGCGGAGAGCGGCCTGTGTGGCCAAAGAACGGCAGGCATCACGGTGACCATACGAGGGTCAGTGCCGTGAACCCGTCTCATGAGGCGGGTGGGAGTGGAGTTGAAGGGTGAATTCGAACCGTCGTCGGAAAAGAAAAGCAGGATCTTCAGGAAGTAGGTGACGGCTTTGGCACCGCGTTAGTCGGCTTTGGTCCGCCGACAGGGCGACGACATGTTCCTGTCACGAAAGTGTCGTGTCACTGTCACGTTTCTGTCACTCAGGGTCTGAGTGACGGCCGCACGGCTTAGGCAGCTCGTGGCCAGGGCAACAAAGCTGCTGACGAGAGCTCTCCAAGTGTGCGCAGCTGTTGTCAGGTATCTCAAGTATGGCAAAACCTGCACTTGGGTGGGGAGCGAGTTTTGAAGAGTCTCGTGCGGCAGACGCTGAACGATGTTGCCACAGGCGGCTGAGCAGTACAAGTACGCATATGAAGCAGCGAGGCGGCGCTATTAAGGGTGGTACATTTTTAGCCCATAAGGGTGCTGAAAGGCCATAAGAGGCTAACCCAGGAAAGGTCGAACAAAACATAATCTAGCATACTCTAGAGCAAGTGGTCGCACTGTTGCTTAGGGCAGCTGCAGTTTTGTGCCGTTCACGAATCACTCCAGGCTAATTTTTGCTTGATGCCGACTCGTTCCCAATATGTGCCCTTTTCCCGTCCACCACAACCCCGTTTATGCCTGTCCCTAAGGCTAACAACAGTTTTCGTCCCATTCCAATCAAAGCCCCGACAGGTCCCGGTGAGCACAACTCAGGACAGCTCAGGACAAGGCAGGACAGCTCCCATTCCGTGCCGTATACCAGCTCAGGACAGCTCTCATTCCGTACCGTTTACCAGCTCAGGACAGTCCCCATTCCGTGCTGTTTACCAGCTCAGGACAGCTCCCATTCTGCGTCGTTTACCAGCCGTCAAGTTGACCCAGTAATGTCCCACCCACCTCCGTCCCTCGGCGCGACCGGCGGCTGACGGCCGGTTTGCGCTCCATCTATCACTAATCAGTTTATCTCGGGAAAACAGATCGGACACGCGGTGCGATCGCCGCCGGCGCGCCAGAAGCGCCGCGCTGCATGCGCCGCCGCTCGCCGCCCGTCGCTGGCGGCGCCGCTGGGAGTGAGCCGCTCGCGCGCGCCACCATTGTCAACAGACGCCACCGGCGGCGCACAATAGAGCTCTAATTAGCGATCATCGAGGCGGTCGGTCGGGCGAGCCGGCGCCCGTCGGCCCGGGACAGAGCACGGAGCCGGTCTGCAGAGCTGCAGGAGCGAGGAACGGTCGAGAGGAGGGGCGCGGCCGGCGGTGCAGCGCCCACCGACGGCGGCCGGTCGGTCGGCTGGACCGCCTGCTCGGGTCCCGAGCGGAGGCGGGATGAATTGGCGCTAATGTTGGTAACGGGTGGTCGCCGCGGCCGCCATCACTCATACCACAGGTGCCGGCGGCTCGAGCCGAGCGGCCAGCCAGCGCGGCGGCGGAGCAGGGCTCCGGTCAGTGGCCAGTAGGACTGACAACACCGGCTGGCTTAGTATCTCGGCGCTACCGCCACCCGTGAAAAGGCTTCCGCAGGAGCAGGAGAGGGGGAGGGACTGTGAGCAGGAGAGGGGGAGGGACTGTATCCGGGAGGGACCCGGATCGGGTCCACATCATCCTGGTGCGGGTGGGCGTCAGACGGGCGGCCGTAATCCGAGACCGCCGGCGGACCGGGCACCCTGGACGCCGTAAGCTGATCGCCCCACGGTTCCGCCCGCCATTGTTGAGCCGATACCCCGGAATGCAGCGCCGCGCACCACCTTGAGGCCGGCGTCCGACCGGGCTATTCAGGAGCAATAGGCCGGCTCACACGGCGGCTCGCCCCCAGCCTGCGCCCGATCCTTCCACTATTTGGCTCCCCTTCCGTCAGATTCCAGCGACCTGTCGGCGCCAGAGCGGCGTCTGTTCAAGGCCCTCCGGACAGCCGGCACCCTCATGCGCCAGTGCACCGAGATCGGCGGGCGGGCCTGGCCAAATTGCCAATGTGCATACGCCGGAAAAACAGCGATAAATAAGAGAGCCGGCGATGAAGCTCGACGGTTGACGGTTGCCGACGGGTATCAATTTCAACACAGAGTGAGCAAATAGCGTGAAGTCCGGGATTGTATCAAATGGTGGGGTATAGCTCGTCCAATCGAGCTCCAATGTGTCACTGTTCGATCGCGTGCAGCTCAGTGCGGAGCTGTCAGATACGTCGAACAATGATTGCTAGTCGTTGCAGTCACTGCATAGCTGAGGGCCATTATTTGGCAATGACGCCGTCCTACTTGTGACGGCGATTCAGTTTTTAGATGGTAAAACTTTACGGTGCAGCGCTATGGCACCTGTCCGTCCGTATGTCTGGCATAGCACCACCTAAAGCGGGACGGCTGACGGTACTTCCAAACTGCAAATGCCCCACTACAAAACGCGGAAGTCCATGATTGCACATAAACAATTCACAAGCACTCTAGTTGTAGGGCTCGAAAATAGCCCTCCACACACCAACACAAGCGGCTCAGGTGCAACTGGCTGGAACTCGACAACCAATACAGTCGGTCTATGCAGCAGCGAGTGCCGAGCCGACATTGTTCCCCGAACTAGCGTGAGCTCGGTGGATACTGACGAGCAATGAGATCGGACGTGCATTCTCCGATCGCCGCCACGGGGGCCGGCCCGCTCCCGAGCGAGGTTCAGGTATCACGGCAAGGCAATACAGCGGGCGGGGGGTAAGAGAGAGACTATCCACGGCCAGATCCAACAGAATGGCACGGTAACAATGCAGCAG